CCAGGCTCTTAATTTTTTTTTCGACTGACGAGAGCACCACTGATTTGAACAGTTTGAGTACCGTCAGTGCGGAGTACTCGACTAAATACTTCTTGTAGATATGAGATCTCAAAACCAGAAAGAACTTTTGCCTTAGCAGTCTCAAAGTTGGAGGAAAGACAAAGCAAGAAAACTCATAACAACCCTTTGTTCTCGTTGGCGTTGTTAAACCTTTATATCAAGACTAAATGGCAATAACATATTAAGCTCCTCATAAATCTTCTTAAACTCCATAAAATAAGTCGTAAGGGACTTATCTTGTTTGTTTGCATGGTAAAATGCTTTGCACACCTCAAACATGCGAGATAGGTTCCCTTCACCAGAATACAGGAAATCCAAATAATCCATCAATTCTTTGACAAACTCACAGTGATTGATCAAACCAATTACTTCGCCATCAATGGAATTTCGAATTTGAAGGAATAAACGAGCATCCTCTCGAAGCCACATATGCTNACACCTCAAACATGCGAGTAATGTTCCCTTTACCAGTTTACAGGAAGTCCAAATAATCCATCAATTCTTTATCATATTCACAGTGATTGATCAAGCCAATTACCTCACCATCAATGGAATTTCGAATTTTTCAGGAATAAGCGAGTATCCTCTCTAAGCCAAGTCTGATTTGAATCATCTCTGGGAGGATCTTCAGTCAAATGAGTATCTTTGTCAATACTCTGTAGATAAAGTCGAACGGTCTTGCTCCAGTCCAAATAATTTGAGCCGTTCAGTTTATGGTCTGAGATTTTCAACATCACAGTTACCATATCCGACGCAATAATGGATTTCTTCTCATCCATAATTTCGAAGTAGCAATGCAAGAAGGCCCAACTAGCTCAATAACAACCTCTAGCTCAACACACGGAATTCACAAATTGAGCCCAAATAACTATTCTTGACCCAATCCACAGATAGCTCAATAACAACCTCTGGTTCAACACACAGAATTCACAAATTGAGCCCAAATAACTATTCTTGACCCAATCCACAGATAGCCCAATCCACCAAATATTTCAGGGCCAATTTAATTACCCAACAGCCCAAATTAAACACCAAATCAAATACTGGAGTTACACAGCCCAACTGGATTACGAACCGATGCTACCAAACTCTCAAATGGGAAATCGCCGGCCACCAAGATCACAGATTATCGGCGCAATAATTGAGGACGTCGACAGGCAAGGCAACATAATTTCTCACGCATAGAGATCGATAAAAACTGATCGAGACTTACAGAAACTGAGAGGATCGAACGAAATTCAACATACAGGAGCTGGAGAGATGAAGAGCTCGCCCTGCCGACCAAAACCCAGCCCTAAATGGGCCATAAACGAAGAGCCCAATTACCGACTGTACTGGACGATGCAAGAGGCAACCACAACTGCGCTACTGTGAACTCGTTTGAATTCCAATAGTGACCACTCGTTTGGGACCGAGGTAGAGATTTATTTGCTAAGCTCTGATACCATGTGAATTAGAATGACGAGAGAAAATAATAGAATACTTTCTTCTTAATCATTGGTAAAGATAATACACTTATATATACACAACCTAGGAAACTATCTTAGGAAATTATACAAATTAGGAAAACCTAGAATTAAG